CAACGAGTGTGTTTGTGTGTCTGAAATCGGACTCAGTGACTGTGTGCTCGTGTGTTTTGTTCTACAGCAATAACATCTCCGTATGTGGAGGGAAATGTTAAAAATACTGTTCAGATATTACAAAGTAAGAATTTGACATGTTTTTATAAATCGTGCATATTTAGAGATTATGTAGTTGGACAGTTTCTGTTCTGGCATCCTTAATCGCTTAATATCCACCAGATCATTGGCGACCTGTCTGTGATTAAATTAACATTTACACCTTTAAATAGAATTTTATTTGAAACGACAGAAACATGTTTGTCAGACGTCTGCCTGTTTAGCACGTGGCTAACAAACAAACCCTCGACAGGTGACTGATCAGCTGGTAGATGCTGGGAGGTTATAAATATTTTTAAATGCATAAATAAAAACATCTTTAAAAGACACGTTACCCTTTGGAAGAACTGTCAGTATAACTGTTGTAATTTCAACCCCCTGATATTCCTGTCAGGATGTCGCTCGTGTTTTACAACAAAACATAACTGATGGGAATATTTCCACAGTGAGACAAAGCTCTGTGCCGTTAGTGCAAAGCTGATGAATGTTGTGTAAAAACAGCCAACACACCGAGCTTTACTTCATTGATGTTTTTTATTGGTTTGATGCTGTTACAATAAAATATATTTAAAAAACAAAAAAAAGATTTTGGTCACTCTCTCTTTGAGGAGAAAAGCACTTCAGTTTAAGACGGGACAGACGCTCAACTCACAGGAAAGAAGAGAGAACCAAGAACGTGAAAACAAGAGAATCAGCTCACAGCAGCAATTTGACCTCAACATAAAGCAGAGAACGTTTGTGCTGAAATGTATCTTTATCTTGCAGCAGATATTCACTTCACAACATAAATATACTATACAGAGTGATTACACATGACTATCTCAATTGGAACACTAAGTGTGTGTGTGTGTGTGTGTGTGTGTGTGTGTGTGTGTGTGTGACAGACGTAAAGGTAAGGCTGGAGGAGTGATTGTCGACGCCCACATCAGTGGACCAATAACAAATGATCTTAAACATTAAAACATTTGACTGTTTAAACTCTCACTGTCACTCTGACTGTGTGAGACTCAGCGTGAGACACACAAGTGTTACTTTTCAACAGGAAGTGCCACAGATGATGCTGCAAACACAGACTTCAGGGCTGCGATGCGGCGGATGCTAGACTGCCTCGGTTTAAAGCACGCTGTCATTATTCTTCGTGGTGCAAAGTTTCTCTGACGGCGCCGCGAGTCGTTGCACGCGTTGCTCTGTCACATAGTGCTGAAGAGAAATGCCCACTAAGCTACACGTCAACACCCACAGGTCAGCTGTACAGGTGGTTGTAAGCTAGCTTTGTCTCGCTGCTCTCTTTGAGCACTGTCGCTAACATCCGTGATGATGTCATCAGTGGGGGGAAAACGAAGATAAATAACTTCTAACGTTCTTAAGGCTGAATAAACAAAGTAACTATTTATCCTGAAAATTGGAGGTCAAATTTCAACAAATGAGAATAACACCTGATTTTTGTTTATATACATCATTTTAAAAACAAACAAACAAGTAAACGCATCAGCGAAGTCATCAGACATCTCTAAATGTTGCCGTCACTTAAATCTATAGTGGAGTTCCCAGTTTTATATTTTGTCTTGTATCCTGTTACAGACGTGTTCATATTAAACATTCAAATAAAGAGAAATCCCTGTGATGTTTTCCCTCCGACTGGACGCTGTTACAGGATCACACACGTACACGTCTGTAATTATTTATTCAAGCATGTTAAGCTGAAACGACTTTAACCAGATTCTTATGTTTCACTTCAGTTTATTTCTGCAGCACCAGATCAAGGTGCTTTATCCTGTTAGGTAACACAATAACACAATATTATACTTTTCAGTGTTTGGTTTTTAGAAGCTGCCAATAATTCAGTTATTAATACGTTTGAACGTGTCCCAAACATGGTCACCTGGCTGTGACCACAGAAGCTCCACCCACCATTTAAAGGGAGGGGCGGGGCTTAACTAGCTTGTTTCAGATAGATAACGAAGTGAGTGCATCCAGTAGGGTAATGTGTATTAACGATTACTTGTAACTGTAACTAAAGCTACTGTCTAAGTGAACAGAACAGGTCCCCTTTAAGCGTGACACAGGACACAAACATTGTCACATGACGGTCCCCTGTCCTGCTACCGTCCTCCACGTGGCTGAAAATAGTCACAAATTAGTTTTGTGTGTTTGCTCAAATCATGTTTTTTCAAGGAAAACTGAAACTCTTTGAACCTCAGAAGCACAAAGCAGTCGAGGGCTGCTGAGATGTGGGTTTCACCTCCTTCTGTAATTTTCTGAAAACAAAGGAACTTACTGAAAGCAACAAGTTTGGATCATCTGAGACGCATCGCTCCTGGATGGCGTGTACCCCGATGTGTTGAAAAGTGACACCAGTGTGAACGAGCACGTGACTCGCACGGATGAACCAAATGTGAGCAGATGCACCTTTTACTTCCCTGCATCTTTATGGACCGAGCCGAAGGACAAACATTACAGACGCCTTCTGCTTCTCACGTGTTTGCTGTCATTGTCATTACCGAGTGCACATTGATGCGTCTCCTGTCGCTGCTTTGCTGTGCACAGTTTCTCTCTTTATCTCCTGCTGTGTTTCTCTCTCTCATTTTCTCTCCTTGTTGTTTGATAAAACACTTAATGGCGTTTATCAATATATTAACATCTAGATAGATTTAAACTAAACTTTATTTATGTCTGTTGGGCTTCTCTAGCAGTGCTACTCTAGTCTGACGACATGACATCATCGAAATAATAAAGATAATCTAGGATAAGCATCAGATACTGGGATCAAAAACGTCTCATTCAGATATTAAAATATTACTTTGGGAAGAGAAAACAAATGTTTGCTGTAAAAAGTAAACATTTGCTCATCCAGCAAATACCTCCATCCAGTGATGCGACTGCAAATTTCACGCTGAAGGCCTTGTCAACATTTGGTAGCGACATGACAAAGATATTTTGGGTGTGAATGTTACAGATTGAGAAAGGTGGCGATGAATGTCGTGTATCTAAAGAGTAACTGTTTGATGGGCAGCTCTGTGGATGTAGCTCGTCTGGGATTCATGTTATATTTGCTTAAAATAGATAGACTGTAACTCTATACGCAGGTCGAACTTTAGATGCTTGAAAACAAGTTAGAAAATCCAGTTTATAGGTAGAAGGTCACGTTAATGTAGCTCTGCAGGACATGAAAACATTAATATTCAAAATCTCCAAACTAGCGGTGAGCACACGCAGCTTTATGATTCCAAACTTTCAGGAACTTTTTTTCCATCCAACTCAAAACATAGAAAGTGTCACAAAGGTGACCCGGGGGAACCTGTCACTCGCTCTTTTCCATCCACACACACTCTCACCTAGACAAATAATACATGGTGGCGGAGCGTCCTGCTCGCGCTCCTCACACACACGCCCTCTTGGCGTGCAGCATCTCGATCAGCAGGTTGTTGCAGGGCACCTCTCCACTCACGTGCATGTAGCATAGGTAGTCCTCGGCCTGCGTGCTGAGGGAGCGCAGCTCCGGCAACCGCACCAGCAGCTGGCTGAACTTCTCTTGGAACTGAGGGTAGGCGGACAGCGTGTACTCCAGCAGAGCAGCGTTCACCTGCTCCTGGACGCCCTCCACGAACGCCTGGTTCTCCAGCAACTTTACATCTAAAAAGAGCAAAGTTCAGGTTAATGTGTGAGCAGTTACAAACTGGAATCATTTGTTTATTAATATACGCCACATCACCGGTGAGCTGTCCGAGGTGGAGACCAAGGTCGGTTTGGTTAATGCTGGTTTGAAGTCGTATGTAAACAGACAGAAACGTGGCTTTTCTAGCAGATGTTGTGTGAAGTCTCTCTCATATATAAAATTTGACATTTTCAGCCTGTTCAGATGTTAAACTCTACCCATCACCCTGAATGTCACACATGGAGGATGTTGTGTATAAAATGCACATCTCCAAAGTCAGTCAGTGCACAAAAAATATGAATTTAAGCCAACAAACATCAAATCTGTTTAAATGTTTGGTGAATGGGGATGAAGTCCATCAGTGTGGAGCTGGAACAAGACATCCGATGTTTCCTTTTTCCAAGTTAACAAACACGTCTTTATGTTAGCGGCTCAACAAACAACCACGCCCAGACTAAACCCTGCACGGTCAGCACAGTGATGAGCGTTGACTCGGCACCGTTTAGTTATTTTGCTTCAAATGGCTAAAGTTATAAACTAAATAAAGTTTTATTATCAAAAGTTAACTATGGACCAGAGAGGACTGGGAGGAGCTTCAGAGAAGATTTGTATGTTTTTCACACCAATGTGAGAATGAGTTACCTGTGTAAAGGCTTATGGAGCGATTCACACTGATCACAGCTCTGTGTTAAAGACCATTTTCATTTAGAAACATTTCTTCAGTATCTATTGTTCTGTTATGTCAGTTAACCTTGGCTCTACATGTATATATATACACAGGGGTTCTTTCATCTTCACCACAGCTGCACATTTTCACCTTGAAATTGCAGTTGTACCAACAGCCTCAGAAACAAACTGAGGCAGCCGGAGTCGTGCAGACCCAAACGAAACAATCTTGTTAACGTGATGGGCGGGGCCTGTTTGTGATGAGCACAAAACGATGAATGAACAACATTATTAGCTGTTTGAAGGCTGCGTTATCAGTAACACGAACAGCTCGTTCAGCCACAGGTATGAAGGCTCTACAAGCTCTGTGCTTGGTGTTTGTAATCTGTTCCCACCCAGCAAAAATATGTTAAAAAGACGCTTTTGACAACAACGAACGTCATTCAGGTTCAGAGGAAGAGTGCTGAACACGTGTGCATGCCTCCAACACAGCAGGTTTGAATCCTTTCTCCATATCAGTGCTAACCACTCCACTACCAAGTATAACAGTTTACTTATATAGCAGCGATTCAGCCCAACATTTTAAACAGTGGTGGGGAGAAATAAAGCCTTTTAACTGGAAGAGACCTCCTGCCAGGCACAGGTGGGGGCCTTTATGGGCCCTGGATGGGTGGAGGTTGGGAAGGGCTGGCAAAAATGTAGCATACAAAGACGTGTGTTATACAAGTTCAACAATGACCTGGTCTGATCTATATTCAATGTTAACTTCTTTTAATTTAATTATGAAAAGTTGGCTTCA